TTTGCAGAATGTTTCTTTATTTTCTCATTTTGCCTCTCTGTGTTCATTTTTATGTATTAGGAAGATTTGTTATGTCTCTGAGCTTCAACCAGGTGGCCTTATGTAGTAGGTATCCTGTGTGGCCCAGTGGTATGGTCTCCCTGATCCCATGCACCAGGGGCTCTGGGCATGTTCCTTGTGTGGTTATGTGTGTTCTCCTGTTGTTGCCAAGCCAAGATTGCTGTTAGTATGTCAGTGGATGGGACTGACTTGCAGGTTGACTGGCTATCGAGATTGGCCACGCCCACAGGGTATGAGCTACTGTGGGGGAGTTGACCCCATGAAGTGGGATTTGTCTCAGAAGTCTCGTGTACCTATTGAGACTGTCCTTTAGTTGTACTGCTTATGGGGCTAGTCAGCTGGTGCTCTGTTGTGGTCTGACACTAGTCTTTGGGTGTGTTGGTTCTGTGCCCCCTTAGGAGGGGCTTCTGTGTAGACCAAGTCAGCCACTGCCTTGATTGCTTGGGGCTACCTGTTAGGAGCTACTAAGCAATCCACAGTGGTTGCTGCCTATACTGGATCTGGAGGCAAGTAGGAGAGACCAACCTGTGAGCTGAGGTCATTTACCCCCCATTATAGGGCCTGGGTGGCTTAGCAAAAGGACCAATACACCTCAAGTCCTGGGACTGCCTGCCAGCTGCCTGTATGACTCCATGGCTGGAAGAGCCTTTGGGTGTTATGCAAGTTGGGTGGGGTGGGGACTCAGGGAGTCACTGGGGTAAAGCAAGTGAGTTTCACTTGGCCACTGCAGAGTAGGTTTTTGTGCCTGTGCTGACTCCGCAGCTTCTTGTAAAAGTTTCAGATTGCAGCAAGGCCAGCCGCTGTCCGTCTTGGGTCCTCAGATCCCTGCGATCCGCTCGAGAGGTACTGCAGCTTAGTCTGGCACCAGCAGCCTGCCACCAAAAGTCTCCCCCGAAATGTGTGGGTCTTGTGAGCTGACGGCTGCTTACTGCCAATGAATGTGTGGTCTAGGGAAGGCTCAAGGTGAGGCTGGCTGTCCGGCAACAGGCCACCATGGGCAATTTGTGGGCTGGGTGGGGTGGGGCCCCAGGGAGACATGGGGTGGAGCGGGTGATCTCACTGGGCCAGTGCAGTTTCAGAATTAGCTGTGTTAGCTGTGCAGGGGTAGGGTTCAACACAGGCAAGATGGCGCCCACCTGTAGACTGCTCAAGAAGGGGCCCGACAGAGGATCAAGGACAGCTGTCCCTCCACCCCTTTCCTGGCCTCACACAACTCGGTCTTTCCTTGTATGTCTCTTGTGCTTCCCAAGTTCCTGATCCTCCACTGGAGCCCAGGGTGAGTATCTGTGTGTGAGTGAGTCTGTGCATGGGCCCTTTAAGGGAATGTCTGCATTTTCAGGTCCCTTCCATCTCACCCAGATGGCCAGAGTCCCCAGTGGTTTTTACAGTCAGATTTTGTGAGAACTCCTCTTTTCAGGACTGGAAACTTGGCCTGGGAATTCCCTGTGTGGGGCTAGAGCCCTTCATTCCTCTGCAGCCACAATTTCCCTTTTGTGGGTATGGGACCAGCCTGCTTCACACCTTCGCCCCTCCTACTGGTCTCCATGTGTCTTTTCCTTTATATCCCCAGATGTGTATGTTATTATCAGCTAGTCTTCAGGTGATTCTCCAAGTTGTCTGTTTTATAATTTGATTGTAATTTTAATGCGGTCATAGAAGCAGGTGAACCCTCCCTTTACCTAGTCTGCCATCTTGTCCGGAACTCCTTATAATTTTTACATGTTTACATAAATACATGAGATCAAAGGACTACATATTTACATAAATCATATTATGTCACATTTATCATTTTGCAACTTACATTTTCACTCTGTATTAAATTTTTAGACCTCTTCAAAATGAGATATATAAATCGGTTTATTGCTCTTAAATAGTAAATATTATTCCATCATATGAATATACATTTTGTTTATTTATTTTTCTCATTGACAGACGTTTGAATTATTTCCAATTTGTTCTGTTATAAATAATGCAGTGAACATTGTTTTATGTTCCACCTCAAAGATTTGAGTGAAATTTTCTATAATGTATATATTTTAAATAAAATTGCTGTACTGATTTTTAATTTTATCAGGTACTGCTGAATTACTCTCCGGAGTAGTTAATCAACGTATGTTCCTACTGACAATGGATGAGAAGATAGGAGTTTTGTTTTCCTTCATCTCTATAGCACTTGTTACTGTGAGACTTAAAAGTTTGCCAATATGATGAGAGGAAAAATTGTATCTTGTTTTAATTTGCATTGCCTTTAGTACTAGTAAATCTGACCATTTTTTTTTCTTTCTTGACCATTCAGATTTTCTCTTCTTTGAATTGTCTGACATTTCCTTTATCCATTTTTATATTTTTTTATTTACTGAGAGACATATATATTTTAGATACTAATATTTTATTGTAGATGTTACAAATATCTTCTACCAGCAGTGATTTAAAAAGTAAAATGTAAAAGTATAATTCTTGCATAGGTAATTGGGAAGTTTGGCAAGGAGTTAAAGATTTGAGAGGATTTGTAGTTCTGAAGATTCAGATTCACCCAAATTTTCCTATTCTCGTTTTAGGCATATCTCCATAATCCAGGTGAAAAACATTTTTTAAATTGTTTTACCTATATTTGTATAATCTCTTACTATACTATGGGTATATTGCTTTAGTTTCAAGGAGAGTTCTTTATTCTTGGGGAGATAGTGTGAAAATTTAAGACACTGTCTTGTCCACTTCTGTTACATGATAATTGTACTTTTCTGAATCCTGCTTCTAAGCATAATATTCAGAGACCAAGTGTGTATATCACTACTGAAAAGATCACATGGACTTCATTTTGATAAAAGCCAATTCAAAGACACAGTAGTTAAAATCTTGATTTGTAGTAGTTTTCCTAAACATCCAGCCATGGAAGTCCCACGAAAAGGCATAGTTGGCAAAACCATTCTTTTCCTAGATTCTTTTCCATGACTTGAGTTTATAAATGGACACTGAGTTGAAAAGTAATTAAATGCTAAGCATAGAATGATGATTTCAAGACAGAACTCAAGCCGCACAGTTTTTGGTTTGATTACAATTGGAAATAAAATAAAATAGCTATTTTACTCTTGGTTACAAAACTCTAATGTTTTGCCCAGTCAGAGGTATTTGCTGAAAGGTAGTTGCTTCCAGTAATTTTAGGACAAGCTGTCATTAAATTGTCAACAGCCTAAATTGAGATTAAAAGTACCAAGAAATATCGTAATATACCAACCTAAGATTCATATTTGAATTTTAGGCTTTTTAAGCAATGAGGTGGAGCAGAAACATTGACAGGGAGAAATACGGCCTCTTAATGGAGGAAATGTAGTAGATCTGTGGAAGGACTGCCCCTATACCCCCACCCCATATGTTCTGCCTCAAGCATTGAATAGATGCCATATTTAGAACACTGTCATTGTGCCTCATTTATTACATAGAGATTACAGGAGACCTTGAATGCCAAATGGAGAAACACATGGTGACTCTAGTATTTGAATTTTAATCTAATTTCTGACTCTTTTATATTATTGCAGCATCCTAAGTATCTAATGATATAGTATCTAGAAAGTCTTATTTACTTTTTAAAACATTTTTCATGGTGACTGAACTTTTATCTTTCTGGACCCAATACCCTTGAATCAATTTTAAATATCATATATTTTCTTTGGAGTTGGAGTGAAGTATGCTACTTGAAATCTGTGTCTACCTTAGGGACAGAGCTTCTGATTTCACACCATTCAGAACTCTTTATATAAGTCTCCACTGAAAGCTGCTTAATCAAACATCTCAAATGTCAGAAATAGGGTTTAAAGGGTTTTTCTAGCAAGTAGGTCTAATCTCCTACTTAGTTTTGATTCCTATAATGTAGATAATCTCTTTGGAGAAAAGGCCTGCTCCTAGCAGGGCAAATATATCCCATAGAATGTATTTCCTATTCCAGAAAGAAAAATCTACTTTAATGAAATTTACTTTTTCATGAAGCTTGGAAAGGTTGTAAGCTTAGGATTTTGATCCTAGCAGATGTTCTTTTTTGGATATTAAAAAAAAAAAGTAGCATTTGATTCAGAAGTCTCAATAAGAGTTGCAGTGGTGATGCTTTTTGCTATAAGAAGCAACTCTCTGAATGTGACATACTGGTCATCAGTTTTGAGTGACATCTGACTTCACGGCTATGGTCCTTTCTCCTT